ACTCTTTCCATACTCTCAGCATTTGTACACATTCTTCACAGGTCTCTTGGACATCAATGACCCTCCTGAGGGCACCTCAAAGTCTGCTAAGATGTTTCAGGGAAATGGTCAAGTGAAGTAGCAATGAAGATGGACTTTGCTTGAGAGAGGAATCAGTTCCATTCCTAACCCCATGGACTGCATTTTCTGGAGCTGCACAGATTAAAGGGGGGCTGGAGACATCTCACTCCCATGCATATTCCTCTCTTCCACAACTTGCAGGGCAGGTGTCTGAACTACTGCTGAAAACCCACCAAACCCAGGGAGACCGAGAGGAGAACAGGAGCAGAATGGAGAGGAGAGGAAACAAGGAGCAACAACACCGTGACCCTACTGCCAAGACAGGCAAGGAGACAGAGGCAGAGGAGCACTCAGGAACACCTTCGCCTCATGCAGTAGGACATGCCACCTGCCAGATGGTGACATTGCAGGCAAGGTACTCATGTCCCTATGCAAGGAGGCAGGAAAAGGGTCTGTAGCAGGAAGGATGCTCCTGTCTTCTGTCAGGGGTATGGACATAAAGGACAGGGCTCATGGACCAGACCCCATGACTGTCAGGGCAGAGAGGCTGCTGGGTGGCAGAAGAGACTTGGAGGGCTTGCTCAGGGGAGGTATCTGCAATGGAGGGACTGACCATGATTTCCCAAATCCATCCTCCCATTGTGATGGGCACTTCCCTCTCCTTCCCTATCCATCTCTGCTGCCCACAGCAGTCCCTGCTGGAATCTTTCTCTGTCCAAACATTTCTTTGGAGTCTGTGTTCATAAATCACCTTTTGTGTACTTGGTTCTATCCTGCAAAAACATTTGGGCACAGAGCACTGTCCAGAGGCATCTCTGTGCAGGCAGTTAGTAAGGAGCAAGTAAAATAAATTGCAGAAAGATGATGCTGATGCTGTGTGCAGGCTAAGGTGGGTTGAGCTTTCTCAGAGACCTATTGATCTCTGAGAGTGAAGATTTGTGAGTCCCAGGTTCTTGACAGAACGGAATACTCTCCTGTTTTCTACCTGCTGCAGTTAGGGAGAAAAAGAAAAAGTATAACCAGCATCAGAAAAGCTTCTGCCCTTGGAAGTAGCCCTGCTCTTGATCTTCCTCTTGAAAAGACCCCTCAGACACGTCCTGTATATGAACTAAAGCAGTGGGCAGACTTGACCCAGGCAGCACCAACTCTCAACACAAGGATGATCCCTCCTGGCTGGGAGCAACTCCTCTCATTTAGAGCTTCTCCCTGCAGCACTGAGCCTTACAGGCAGCAGACTCACTGTCCCACGTGACTCCTGGGGAACAGGGATGCCGCTCTGACTAAAAAACCTGGGTAGATCCGTGCTCATAACCAGCTTCACACGCCTACAGCCATCCCAGGAAGAAAGGAGCAACATGCCCTGCCTTTTGAAGGTGCATCATGGAATCCCTGCTCGGAGTCATTTCCCCCTCCTGCTATGCTCTGCAGCCAGAAACTTACCTTGTGAGGACTTCCTCCACAGTGAGCTCTGTGCTGTGCTCCCACTACACACTGATGTACCCCTCTCTCTGCCTTCTCTCCTCTCCTGTCCACAGCAGCAGACAGTGCCCACAGCCCTGCTGCTTTTGGCACAGGAGCTGCTCCTGCACTCGGCTGTCTCTGGGCAGCGCTGCCAGGCTGCCACGAGCTCCCTCTGTCCCAGGAGCCTGGCCCCGCTCAGGAGCAGAGGCCCAGCTGAATTCACCAATTTCTCTATCCCTTGTGCTCCCTCCTCCAGGGAAAAGTTCACATCAATAAACTAAAATAATGACCTGTTGTCATTTCCTAAAGAGTGGAGAGACATGGATTCCAACATTGCAGTTTATTCCATCAAAGGATGACTATCTGTGAAAGCTGGAAATGTGCCACTCTGGAAGCCTCATTTCACATCCCTTAACTAGACAGGAGACTGAGGTGTGGACAAGTGGGGAGTTCATTGACACAGGGTTCAGGTGCTGATTCAGAAATATCAATCTGGGCAATACCTGTCTAGGCCTGGATCTGTAGTCGTATTCAGATCCTTCCTATAAACTCCACAAACACAGCAGTGGTGGGATACCACTTGCCAAAACTGAAGTGAGCAGAGCACAGAGATCTGCACACGAGCTCCTTGTTGAAGCTCCTCTGCAATCACTGGAGATGAAGGGTGAGAGTCAGTAGCTCCCACAGAAACACCTGGTGACAGTGGAAGAGCCTGAGGAGGTGCAAAGCATGTGCCAGTGCCTTCTTGCTCTGATGGAGCTACTGGGAGACCTGCAACATCCTAGAGCAGCAGTTGAGGTCCAGGTAAGGAATTGCCTTGGCCATCTGAAATGACCCCAGATGCCAATTACGACAACAGTCCCACTCCCTATGAAGTTGATGCATGGGAAGATTCCAGGATTAACCAGCAGCTCTTGTAATTCAGTGCGGAGTCTTGATCTGATGGCACAGAAAAGTGCTGACAGGCCCTTGTCAGATGCCTGGGGTGTCCAGCATTACCATGTGTCTCTTGCAGGTACAGCAGGGGACCTATAGGAAAACCATGCCCTCTTGGCATAATGGTTGGGCAAGTGCCCCAGGGCATCCTGCGTTCCTGTCCTGTACCCAAACACAGACATTCCAGCACAAATGGGAGGCACTCCCGCACCGCCAGCTCTCTGCTCCAGGCTCTGCACTCTCAAACCTTTCTAGCTCTCCTCCCCTGAACTTCCATTCGTTCTACCACATGATATGAACAGACAACGGGCTAATGAGGCCCTCTGGGTGACTGCATCGTAGGCGGTCAAGGCCCATGGACATCTTCAGTGGCACCTTGTTCTTCCTGAACCAACATCAGGTACAGGAGAGAGCGTCCGTTGGGCTGCTTTGTGTGAGAGGAAATGCCCATGGCCAGGAATATGTGTCCCCTCACTGGAGAAGCTCCTGCCTGGCTATCTTGGCCCAGGTCTCCTTCCCCACCATCCTCGTGCTCTCCGTGCAGGTTCCATCCCTGCCGCCCGCCTCTCCCTCCAGCCCCACTGCTCACCTCCCTCATGCGCTCCTCTGCTCCAGAGATCCCGTCCATGGAGGAGGAGCAGCTGTTTGCCTGCTGCTCCATCTCCATCTCCAGAACTCGCTCTGGGGACAGCTTTGCATGGCCAGCGTGTTTCCGGCCTGTCCTCTACCCAGACAGATGTGTCCTCACAGTCCATGTCACAGCCCTGTCCTCTGATCAGCTGCTCACATTGAGGGGACCTCACAGGCCCTTGGCAGGTGCTGGCCCTGCTGCTGGCCAATACTGCATGAGGCAGCAGTGACCTCACAATGTGTCCTGGAACCTTCAATTGTCTCTGGCCTATCAGCAGCAGGGACAGAGGTGACGTCACAAGAAACCTCAGCAACCCAGAGCCTGCTGATGGCCTCAGGTCTACAGGGAAGGATGTGACCTCACAGTCAGCATCAGAGCCATGTCCCTGCTGTTGGTCCATCAGGAACTGGCACAGCAGTGGCCTCACAGCCAACATCCACATCATGTGCCTGCTGCTAGCCTATCAGGTCCTGGCACAGCACTGACTTCATAAACATGACGCAAGTCAGGTGCCTGCTGCTGGCGTATCAGGTACTGAGGCAAAAGCGCCCTTACAATCAACATTCAAAACATCAGGCTGCAGTCACACCGTTGCTCCTTTCCTCTTCTCCAGGGGCATCCTTGTTCCCCAGAGAGCCCTTCTTGGGTTGGTGTGTCAGTGCTGGCCTGCCTAGCCATTTCTGGAGCTTCCCCTGTGCTCCCTGAAGGGTCTCGAGCTGGAGAGGCTGCTCTACAGAGCTGAGTGAGAGGGCTGTGGTGCCCAGGGCCGCAAGGTAACTCCACATTCACCATGGTGACTTGGGTGGGAAGCAGACCCACCTGGACGGGTGTCACTGAATCTGACAACCTCCTACCAAGGAGTCTGTGTCCATGGACAGTGCTCTGAGCAATCCCAGGCCATTTCAAATGGCTCAGACTGTGTCCAGGTGTGTTGCGAGATCCAGACCATAGTTCTCCACTGAAGGTGAAGCACTCTCTAGGCTCCCTTCCCATCTGCCACCAGTCATTTCATACATGAAACAGTCCCAGGTAAATACTGCTTGACCATTCACCAGTACCAGGAGCACTGGGCACCCACA